TACAATGACCTAAACTCAGGGTACAATGACCTCCACACAGTGTACGACCTACACACAGGCTACAAGGACCTACACACAGGGTATAGTGACCTACACACACAGTACAATGACCTACACACAGGGTATAGTGACCTACACACAGTGTACAACGACCTACACACAGGGTACAATGACCTACACACAGAGTATAGTGACCTACACACAGTGTACGACCTACACACAGGGTACAATGACCTACACACAGGGTACAATGACCTTGACACAGGATACAATGACCTACATACAGGGTACAATGACCTAAACACATGGTGAAATGACCTACACACATGGTACAATGACCTACACACAGTGTACAATGACCTACACACAGGGTACAGTGACCTAAACACATGGTGAAATGACCTACACACAGTGTACAATGACCTACACACAATGTACAATGACCTAAACTCAGGGTACAATGACCTAAAAAAGGGTGCAACGACCTACACACAGGCTACAACGACCTACACACAGGGTATAGTGACCTACACACAGAGTACAATGACCTACACACAGGGTATAGTGACCTACACACAGTGTACAACGACCTACACACAGGGTACAATGACCTACACACAGGGTATAGTGACCTACACACAGTGTACGACCTACACACAGGGTACAATGACCTACACACAGGCTACAACGACCTGCACACAGGGTAAAGTGACCTACACACAGTGTACAATGACCTACACACAGGGTACAATGACCTAAACACAGGGCACAATGACCAAAACACAGGGTACAGTGCAATGACCTAAACACAGGGTACACCAACACCAACTTGACTGACGACCACACAAGGTTTACCGACACCTAATTAAACGGCTCTACATACAGGGTCCAGATCTGAACAGACCGTTGCCTCAAGACTGACAGCATGGTAACACCTCACACCTGTCCCTGAACCCTGGCACCGACCTCATCCGACTCCTGACCCTTGACCACACAGGTCAGTCCAACATCACCTGCACTTCCTCATACACAACCTGCCACTCATTTGACAATCATCATCATCATCATTACTTTGTATATTGCACTTCCCAATATATAATTGCTGAACAACTCCTACATCAGGAGATTTACTCCAGGCACTGAATCAGTGTGCCATCATCATCAATGCACCCTGAACCCTGGCAACAAATATATTCTTTAGGGTTCTACACGGCACCAGACAGATATATAGGTGAGGCTTTTCAGAAGATAAGCGTGCCCAAACCTTTTGATAATCCCACAAAACTTCAATTTATTGTTAATAAATCAGTGAACATCATGTAGACCTGATAACGTGATCGCTGGATGTCCTCCATATTATCACCACTGCATGAATAGTTTCGTTTGTCTGGACCTGTCAACTAACCCAGAAACTATGTTATCATTCAAAGTGAGGTTTCCTGTCATGCTCACTGGCATTCCAAATTAATGCTAAGTTGTGAGACTGAGAGCGCAATCAATAAATGGTTTGATGGGGTACAAAAGTAGGTTTTGAATCATTTGAATAGGTCAGATTTATTGCACTTCCTATTAAATGAATCATAGTAAGTACTATTGGTATAATTTTGGGCATGCTGCCAGGGATTGTGAAAATATTTCATCTTGAGATTTCAAAAGTTAATGTTCATGACACACAAATTAAGCACTGGAGACACCCTAATACAACACCATTAAGGTCAATCAGTATAAATTGACTCACAAAGGTATACACATGACACAGACAGACAGACAGACAGACAGACAGAGACAGACGGACAGACACAGATAGGCAGACATACATACAGACATACATACACACACACACAGACACATATACAGACTCACACAGAGACAGAAGACACACAGACAGACACACAGACAGACACACAAAGACATACATACAGACACACAGACATACAGACAGACATACCCACAGACAGACATACCCACAGACAGACATATAGACAGGCACACAGACACAGATAGGCAGACTTACACAGACATACACACAGACCGAGAGACATACCCACAGACAGACATACACAGAGACAGACAGACACACAGACAGGCACACATACACACACACACACCTCTTCCTCAGCAGCCGGTCTGCATACTGTAGTGCAGTGTAGAGGTGATGTTGTCAGCTGCTCTGTTTTCAATCAGCTGGCAGTTATTTTTACTCCACTAAGAATAAACAACCTGGCTGAAACCAAGCTTCGAGTCCCAGCATCAGCCAGCCCGCAGTGCCACACGGACCAGAACGTGCCACACGGACCAGAACAGACCACGTACATCAGACCACTCTGAACATCCTAGCGAGACTGTAAAACCCGGAACATGACATGAACTGTCCACCAGAGGTGTGTACAGCCGAGGTCTGGGATGGTGGTTGAGCTCCAGGTAGTGGGCCGGAGATACAGTGTGATTCACCTAGGTATGTCTGAGCAAGGATGGTGTGGAACATCTCATCGCCTCCAGCCTCCACACACAGCCAGGGTGTTACACCAAACAGAAATGTGTGTCAAGTAGGCACCAATGTACAGAACTGACACAAAAAGCCTCCATATATTATTTTTGTGGAAAGGATACACACTATACTCACTGTGCCAATATTTTTACCAGGATTATATGTTTTCTGTCATTAAAAGAATTACTTACCTTCAGGTACTGTACATTACACAATTTCATTATTTCAAATGACCCTCAATTTCCAGCACAGATCCATGAAAGTACGATCTACTCTCAGCAGTTTAGAAAAACCATAGTATGAGAATATATTTTCAACTATACTTGTGTGAGATGTATACATGTGACTCAAGTCGTCCACCATACTGTGCACCCTAAACATCTGCCATAGGCTACAATTCATCTCTGTACATCTCCCTTCAGCTCTGACTTGTACAGATGTTGAAATTCCTGTAATCCGACTTTGAGATTCTTGAATTCCTGACACACAAACATCTGAACTGAATCAGTGTGTGCTCCAGTGATACACAAACGTCTGTCTGTTCAGCCTGGTAACAATCAATGTAACTGAATTTTGTTTTGTGCCACAGTCTGCACTATTCAATAATGGCAGCCTGTAGACAACTGAGCAAGGATACTAGGGCTCCAATTAGTCCATCCTCGATAATCTCCAGGGTATACGTTACGATCAATCTCCACTATACCCTGGATGCATCCACGGCTTGGCCCCGATAATCATATTGCCTCCCTTTGCTGGCTCTGCATTCTCACAGTAGCCAATCAGCTAAGCTGCCGTTACATCCGAACTTGCCAGTGTCAACAAAGATAGCGGTCACAGTCGCGAAGGTTTGTTCGCATTGCCACTTAGATTTTTTAGGAAATCATACAGACAAATTGACAGATCTGAAACTTTAAAAAACATGTAAAAGAACTCCTTCTACCACTTTCAGAGTACCTCTGCATCAATTGTGTTGCCAAGTTTAAATGGTTAGATAATTTAAGAAGTGGAAGTGAGTCGTGATTGGTTCGCTCAACTTCCCAGCGTAGACACCTGATTGGATAAAACGCCAGCCAAGGGAGATAATAAACTCATCGGGCCAAGCCATGGATGCATCCAGGGTGTAGTGGAGAGTGATCGTAACGATGCCCTGAAGATTATCGAGGATGCAATTAGTCAAGCATGAGGGGAATATGATACATATACAAATATTGGGTGATAAATACAAATATTGGGTACCAAATACAATAACAAGTCTGATGTATTATTCAATATATTTAGCTCATTTCAGAATAGTGGCTTGTGTAAATTAACTTAATCTTTGAAGACAACTAGTCTTTATTCTAGGATTAACAGACTGAGACTGCATCTGGCCAGTGGATAATATGATGAGAAATACCTTTTGAGTGAGTGAGTGGGTTTAGTTTTACATGCCGAAAGCATTATTCAAGCTTATGGGACACCAAGAATGGACTTCACACATTGTACCCGTGTGGAGAATCAAACCCAGGTCTTCGGTGTGACAAGTGAACACTTTAACCACTAGGCTACCCCACAGCCCCCAATACTTTCTGAATAAAGGCACCTATCACAGCAACAACAGCAACAGCAACACTGACCCTGATTTACGAAACACACAGAAGGAGTGTTAGTCTCTCGTACAGACCCTGAAGCAAATATATCCAAGAAAGCCAACGCAAATCTAGAAAATGTGGCAAGTCTAGATTTCCACAGCTCTGAAAATGAAGAAAGTCTCAGGGCTCCTTTTCATTATATATATATTTTTACTATGAACTTTTTTTTCAGTAAAATATGTTCATTTCAGAGACTAGATGTTAGTCTAAAGGAGTGTAATGATAAGGTTCAACAGTCATTTACTTGAAACAAATAATAATGAGATTTCTTTGTGACATGTTAACTGTCAGTAGGAAATTCTTCTGTATCATTTCCGAATTTGAAAGAGATGATGATGAGATGAAGCTTTACGTCGCATCGGCAATTTTTCAGCCAAACAGCAATGAGGCCAAGTCCGACCATATACCAAAATTTGAAAGAGAGTCTTACTTTTAGGACATTTTGGATAACGGTCAATGTCCTACTTCTACAACATGAACGTCATTTGCCAGATAATATGACACCTTCGTGACTCAAGTCAACTTAGATTAGGAAATTCCCTTGTATCATTATCAAATTTGAAAGAGAGTTTTAGGATATACTGGACAAGTCAACATCCTAGAAAATGAATGAACCTCAAACAAGTGAATGCCAGCTACAACTGTGACCTTGAACCCTTCATTCCAGCTGAGCTCGGTGCAGATGATCACGGGATCACAACACTTCACATCCATCACAATTTGTTCACATATTTAGTTATATACATCCATTCTGCAGCAGTAGCAGCCCTGTATCACGAGAGACGTCCAAGAAGATAAGAGTAACAGTCTAACAGAGTTATCTCACACAATGAACAGATACACACAAACTTCACAGCTACGGGAGAAAACACAACACGAACCTGTGACCGATTTAAATCCTAACTCCACACCAACTAGAAGTCCATGGAACCGGTAAGCACCATATTCCTCAAAGTGAGGGGAGATTCCTGCGAGTGGTGTACAAGGCAGGATCTACGTACTACAGTCATGATTCACCTGCTCCCCCTCCCTGGCTATTATAGGAACCTGCACCCAGAACTGCCTCCACATTACGTTTATCACAGAACACTCACCGGAGCACACAGTGCTGCAGTGTTGGTAGATATTGCTGGACTCATAAATACACCTATCTGTGCCAAAAAATGTCTACTTGAAGAAAATGTGTTTGGCCCAAACTGGATCTTTGGGTCAATTATGTTGTGTTATTAGCTGAGGATCATGAAAGAAAGTCTGCAGACTGATATGTAATACTCCTGGAATGTATGAACGAGTCTGATCAAATGTATACTGTGTGTCAGTCTGTGTTACTCGTCCAAGCAGTCAGATGTTTAAGCCTTAGAAATGTATCCAAACTGCAGCACGTGATGTCAAGTCAAGTACTACAGCTGTTGTAAAGGGAAACTGTCAAGTACTAAAGTTGTGGAATAGCAACATAGTTGAATACTACAGTTCTGGAATAGCAACATAGTTTAATACTACAGTTCTGGAATAGCAACATAGTTTAATACTACAGTTCTGGAATAGCTACACTGTTCAATACTACAGTTCTGGAATAGCAACGTAGTTTAATACTACAGTTCTGGAATAGCTACACTGTTCAATACTACAGTTCTGGAATAGCAACACTGTTCAATACTACAGTTCTGGAATAGCAACACTGTTCAATACTACAGTTCTGGAATAGCAACATAGTTTAATACTACAGTTCTGGAATAGCAGCATAGTTCAATACTACAGCTCTGGAATAGCAACACTGTTCAATACTACAGTTCTGGAATAGCAACACTGTTCAATACTACAGTTCTGGAATAGCAACATAGTTCAATACTACAGCTCTGGAATAGCAACACTGTTCAATACTACAGTTCTGGAATAGCAACATAGTTCAATACTACAGCTCTGGAATAGCAACATAGTTCAATACTACAGCTCTGGAATAGCAACATAGTTCAATACTACAGCTCTGGAATAGCAACATAGTTCAATACTACAGCTCTGGAATAGCAACATAGTTCAATACCACAGTTCTGGAATAGCAACACTGTTCAATACTACAGCTCTGGAACAGCAACATTGTACAGTACTTTAGTTCTAAAATAGTAACACACTCATGTACTACAGCTCTGGAGTAGCAACCCAACCAAGTACGACAGTATTGGAATAGTAAAATACTCAAGTCCTACAGTATTGGAATAGTAAAATACTCAAGTCCTACAGTTCTGGAATAGCAACAGTCAGACAGATCAACTTTTACAGGGATGCAAGGCGCGGTCATACGGTGCAGTGCTCCATATTGTAATGGATAAGTCTACAGTTTCAACTGTCTGTTGAGCTGGCAGCAGGCTTAGATTAATATACTGCAGACATGCTCAATATGACGATATACTGCAGACATGCTCAATATGACGATATACTGCAGACATGCTCAATATGACGATATACTGTGGATTTATTGTCAACAGTATCAAGATACAATATATATATATATATATATACTCTGCAGATATATACTTCAACAACGCCAAGTGATTAAGATATACGCTCTACAATATCAAGATATACTTCTGATATCCAATCCACCATATCATGATATACAACAGATATACTCTCTACAAAATGTTATACTGTGTATATACTCTCATGAAAATCATGATATAATGAGATATACTCTTGAGAATATCGAGAGTATATATTGCATATTTACCCACAACAATATTAAGATATACAGTGGATATATTCTCAACAATAACATGATATAATGTGCAGATAAACTGCCAACAATATGATACAGTGTGGAAATACTTCCAACAATAACATGATATTCAACAAATATATTATCAACAATATCATGACATAACAAATATATTATCAACAATATCATGACATAAAACAAATATAAATGACAGACTGGGGATGCATTCTCAACAATATGAGGACAGAGCATCCTTGTGCTTAACCTATAACAGTTCAGGGCAAAAAGGTACATTATTACACTATACCAGGGTGTTACATAGCTCTTCAAAACTGGGAGTCCTGGGGACTCGGGGCATATGTTTGGGGGAGTCCATTTCCAAAATTGGGAGTCTATCAATCTCGGATCCGCATGAAATCAATGATCATGGATGCTTCCCATTTGATAATGATTATGGGGAAGAGCGAGCTGTATTTCTGAAGTATATCAGGTTTGGCCATACACTGCCGCTGTCAGCGTCAACGACGTCTGCTTCTACTGTATCTGACTTAATCAAAACCTAATTTCTTCTACTTAAGTTATAACCTATAACAGCGTGAGTTTAGTTTTACGCCGCACTCAGCAATATTCCAGCTATATGGTGGCGATCTGTAAAAAATCAAGTCTGGACCAGACAATCCAGTGATCAACAGCATGAGCATCGCTCTACACAATTGGGATACGATGACATGTGTCAACCAAGTCAGCAAGACAGACCACCTGATCCGGTTAGTTACGACAAGCATGGGTTGCTAAGATCAATTCTAACCCGAATCTGCACGGGCTGTTATAACACTTAACGGAAGCTGCCTACATATTCATGTTTTGGTTGCAGGATTCCAGAAGAGTTCAATGGTCCCGATCCACATAGTGTTTGTAAAGTTATGACCTTTCGCAACTCTGTGGTTTACCAGAGGTGTACAAATGTCGCAGCACTGTCTCCACCAGACCCAGGGCCTAGATTTTCAAGCTCCCTTATTGCTAAGATAGTCGTAAGTGCCATACATTAACAAATTGAATAAACTAATGAATAAAATCAACAACAGCATTCATAAAAGTTGTCAAACTTACATATAAAATTTCTATTTCCATCTTTTTGTGCGATCATGTAATGCAAGTCAAGTCACTGACAAGTGACATCTCGCTCTCGCCGCCTCAATCTTCAACTTCGGACCACGATGTTTAATCGCGAAAAATACATACATGAAGCATTTTGTCACAGGTCATAACCTAGCACGTCGTCCAATAAGTTCCATAATTTACGTATTGGTAGCGATTTCTTTTAATATGTTCAGAATAGCATTATTTTACCCAAAACTTTTGTCCAAATCTAAAGATTTCGTTTAAAGAGGGCGGTATCCATTGCCGCATAATATGATTGGCTGCCTTAGGTCCGTGTCTGATTTTGACCAATCACAACCCTTATAGCAGACTGTGGCGAAAAGCGTCATTAGAAACCAATCTTTATCCAATAAAATCGCTTCTTACAACTGTGAAAAATACTCTTGGCAAGGGTACAGTGATATTGTTGATGTTCAGAGCTTTTCGAGCGATGCCCGACATCAAGCGATTTGCGCACATGTTATTCATCTGTGAAGCTTCGAAACGGAGGTATTTTCAGTTGTTATGTCATTTTACCGGCCGGAAAGCCGGCAGAATGTCGGGAAATAGGCTGACCATACATATTGTTTAAGAAATGTTTTTATAATAATTTTCTGATTACGTGAAAATGAAAATATAAAAGAAAAAGGCCGCGGGCAATTTATGACATGTCACAAATGGAAAAAAATACGCCATAGTTTTTGCTCCTTTAAGTTGGTTTATCTGGGCGTTACAAATGTAAGCTTGCATTTTCATTCAAATATAAATTTATTTAAGTTGTAGTTGTATTATTTGAATAATATTATAAAAATAAACTTCATATTTATCAACAGTAGAGTTAGATCTTTTAAATGGTGTATTGGATGTAGTAGCAATAACGTTTTTACAAGCTTATAATTTCCTTCTTGAAAGAGTTAACTAACTGACTGAGTATGGTTTTACCCGCTTTTAGCAATATTCCAGCAACATCACGCAGGGGACACCAGAAATAGGCTTCACACATTGTACCCATGTGGGGATTCGAACCGGGTCTTCGGCGGATTTAACCAATGCTTTAACCACTAGGCTACCCACCACCGTTAACTATCTTACATTAACTTCCACGACTATCTTAGCAAAGAGAGCTAGGCCCCAGGACATTAAACTGCCACAAGATGCCTAACTGATCACTCAAAATGGAAAACATGAAGTCCCAAGACTGACTGACTGAGTTTAGTTTTCGCCGCTTTTAGCAATATTCCAGCAATATCACGGCGGGGACACCAGAAATGGAAGCTTAACACATTGTACCCATGTGGGAATCGAACCGGGTCTTCGCGTGACGAGCCAGCGCTTTAACCACTAGTGAAGTCCAAGAAATGTCAATAAGAGAACTGTATAAGGATGGACGTTGGTCAAGTGGCTAACTGGTGGTACTTACAGTGTAGTTAGTATCAGTGTCCCATGTGTGTTGGAGATGTCCACGGGCAGCTTGAGGCCTGAAACACATGGATAACGTCAGTATATATCACAGTCAGGGCTTATAGGTCTAAATATCTACATATATACAGGAGAGACGAGGAAAGAGTAGGAATACAATTATAACTAATATTGGTGTACAGATAAATAATGTCAGTATACAGAGCTGGTATAGTGACAGTGTTCACGAATAGCGTCAGACCCTCAGACAAATCTGGCAGATTCGCCAAAGGTCAGATGGAAGTCCTGGGGTGGAAATAAGTTTCAAATTGCTAGTGTACTCGGTATAGTGGCACATGTAAAGTCACTTGCCCTGATTATTTTCCCACTATACCAACCGTTTTTTCTTGCTGATTTTTTAACTAAACAACATAATAAACATTGGAAAGTCAACTGGACACCGGTACAGTGTGATATACAGATTTGCTTGCCCGACAGAAAAAACACTGGACTCGGACGTCCGGGCAATGGGTTATTTCCACCCTGAGGTCTACAACTCGCTGCCCCAGTGTCCGACTGTATATTTCTACAAATGACTTTGACTAAAGTTGTTATATGTGACATGTGACACTTGTTTGCTGTTTATAAATCTTATGTTTGTTAATAATTTCAATGCCAATTACAAGAAATGTTAAAT